GATCTTAATTTCCTTCTTACTTCCAAGAAGTCTAAGTTATTTTCGTTGTCTTTGTGTTAACTGTGATGTTCAGCAATCAACTTGAAAAATAAATGTGCCTAGTCTTGTCAATGTGAAACTTGAGCATGATTTAGCGTTTCATACGTGAATCATGTGCGATTATGTAAACCTTGTGAGTTTTTGAGCCTTTACATGATTGAACCATTATGCATCAATCTCATTCCTTCTTGTGCGTATGATCTCACTGTAGATGTATCTCTAGAACTTGCTTTATACTTCTCGTCTCATTCATCAATTCATGTAATAACTTGGAAGTGATATAGGCCATCTTTGGATTGTTTGAGCCTTTCGTGCCTACCTTATATGCTATGTGTGTCCATAGTAGCCCGTTGAGCCTTTAACTAAGCCATTTCTTTGTTAGCCACATCTCTTTACCGTGCTCCAATATTGGAGTTGAGCCCATACACAAAAATCGATTCCTTATTGTTTTGAGAAAGTATTACATGGGTTGTGCTCTTAGGGGTTTCATTTATGTAGAAAGATGGATGGAGCATGTGTATTACAATGAAATGTGAATTTGATGGGTGATGTAGCTTTTGCAGATTTATGCATAGCTTTGCAGATTTGTTTCTTTCAAACTAAAAAAAAAAAAAAAAAAAAGAAAAAAAAATGAAAAAAAAAGAAGAGAAAATTGGAGAGTATTGATTTGTTGAAAATGTGTCTGCAGAGTATAAATTTCCTTTTGAAGTTAAATTGGGGGAGAAACAGGTGCTCGAGGTTTTATTATTTTGCTTTAAATTTGAGGTGGTGTGATATTGAGGTGTTGGAAAACTACCAAAGTGTACTTTCTCAAAATTTTTGATTTCCATATCCTTTCTTTCATTAGCCTATCACCTTTAGCCCCATTACAACCGTAATAAAGTCCTATTGATCCAAGGTATTACTTAAATATTGATAGCGAGTTAGGTGGACAAGCAAGCATATGGCGGCATGTACAATGAGATCACTTGAGTGAAACACATTAACCAAAACTTATGAGTGAATGAGCGTATGTCTTGTGAGAAGCTCACATGTTTGCATATGATGATTTAAAAGAGCTTGGAATTGCATTGACATGGCTAGCTCACACATGGCATTTCAACGTTTTGTTTGAAGGAAATTTGGTTAACTATTGGATGATGTTTTGAGCTCTTGCTTAGTTCTTGGTTGTTTGTTTCATGATTAGCACTTATCTCTGAAATCGAAATTGAGAAGTTGGCTACTAAGTTGTTGAATCTAGTCTTAGTTGAGTGGTTTTGTTTTGTGTTTTGTTTTGCTAGAGGACTAGCAAAAATGCAAGTTTGGGGGTATTTGATCACTCATATATTTCATGCATTTATACCATCCATTTCTAAAGTCTTTGTGATGTTTTTGTGTTAAAATTGTGGCATTTTACCTTACCTTGTGTTAGTGTGCAGTTAAATTTGTTTTAGGATCAATTTCAAGAAAAATGGAGAAAAGGAAATAATAAAAACAAACAAAAGAAATGGAAGTGGAGCTTGTCTCCACGGGTGGTGTCTTTAAAAATCATTTGCTTTATTGTTTAAGGCAACAGACAGCAAGGAAAGAGACAGGGAATTTGCCTTGCCAATTCTCACTACCGAAGTGGAAATAGGTGTGTTTTCCATTGAGCTTTTGTGGTGAAAAGAAAAAGGAGAGCAGGGCACGGCATAAGGGATGGCACACGGACAGAAAGAATAAAAGCAAAGAGAGCAGAGAGAGCTTGAAGGGGGAAAAAGAAAAAAGATAGCAGAAAAATATAGAGAGAAGTCGTGGAGGGCAAAGATGGAGCAACATACAGCAGAGCAGAAAGAAGCATGCTCATCTCTTTGAGGAGAAGATCAGAGAGCTTCCTTGTAAAAAAGGGTTGTCTCTTTCTTTGATTCTTCATGAATTTCTTATGTATTCAAATAATTATGTGTAACTAATTTCCTTTTGCTAGAGTGAGGCCATGAGCCGCAACATGAATACGTAGATTTCTCTTTCAATTGCTTAAGTGTTGTTACATGCTTGCTTTGATATTTTCAATCACTGAATTAAACTATCTATGTACCTTGATGCTTGATCACCATTAGGATGCTTAGAAAAGTTATCGGATGCAATTTTGAACGAATGTTACGTTAAAATTGGTTGTACTTCTTGTGATTGAGGATTGTACTCTCCTAAGGTAAATATCATGCTCTTAGGGATTACATGGTTTAACAAAAGGATTTTCACCAAGATTAATGAATCACTCATGTTTATATTTAATCCAAATGTCATGGATAAGTTGCATGTAGTGGTATGCGTTTTAGCATGAATGTCACAAGTAAAACATACACAAGGAAAATCTAACCTTCAAAGTATGTGTGTTTTCAATTATTTAAGCAATTGGAATAGCTACGTAGAAGTATTGTTGGTAAAGGTTGAACTCTAGCATATTGTCAATCTATTTTTCTTCAATCATTTATTTTATCTTGAATTTCCTCATTTACTTGTTTTGTTTAGTTGAATCACTATTCCTATAAGCCAATTCCTATTTTAGATATTTGTTTAAATCACATCCAGTAGTATTTAGTTTCATCAAATTAGTGTAGTTCTTAGAGTTAAATAAGTTAAATACACAAAAAACTCGTAAATTGTTTATATCAGTCCCTGAAGAGATCGACCTTACTTGAGCCGTTCTATACTACAATACTTGTTCTCTTGCAAGAATTTTCTATGGTTTAACCCTTTGTTTTACAAGTGGTAAAATCGCTATCATGATCTCTTAGAAGATGCAAGAAGATGAACGGTTCGGATCGTTAATATTACATTTAGAAGTTTACCATTAGTGAAAATATAGCTCGAAGTTTTTGTCTCTAGAAACTATATAGCATCAACTCATATTTTAGTTAACCATAAATATCAGAATGTCATATCAACGATTTGAACCGTTCATTTTTCTACATCAGCTTAAAGATCACTTTATAAAAAAGAAAATCTAAAAAATGAAATTCAATGAGTAGAATAAAACGTAAACAACAATGGACGATTAAATTTAAATCTAAGGTTTATGGATTATGGTGTCAGATTTCAGAGTTGACCCCTTCACGAAAGTTGTAAAGCTTGTCATTATGAGTGGTTCTATATTTTTTATTTTTTTTACATTTTTCACACTTCTACAATAATAATTATTAATTTTGCACTCAAATAAAAAACACTATTCATGAGATTTGGAGGATTTTAAAAATCTAAACGACCATGTAACCATCGTTTAAGTGTACATGATGCAATTACGAGCGTTTATATTTGCTTTCATATTTTTTAGACTTATATATTAATGATTATGAATTTTATTTCATTTGAACTCCCTTAAAAATATTCATGAAGGTTTTTATGGTTTTAAAAATTCAAACGACGATATACCCATCCTCAAAGCGTAGAGGATGCAATTACAAGCGTTTGCATATTTTTTCACATTTTTTGCGCTTGTAAATTAATTATTATAATTTTTTTTTAATGTGTTTGGTATTTTAAATTACTTGATATTTTTATTTTTAATGTGTTTTTTAATTTCACTTTTTGCCTATAGTATACTATAAAATAAATAAATAATTTTAAAATTTTAAAATTTGTATAGAATAATAATACAATAATAATTAATAAACAATATACATATCCAGTATATCTATTGTATTTTATAGTAATTCTTCTAATAGTTTAAAAAATTAAAATCATTAAAATAACTTTTTTCTTATCGTGTCGAAATAGGTTACCCGCGTGTCATTATCGTATAAACCTGTTAAGGACCCGTTATTATCGGGTTCTTATCATGTGACCCGATAACGACCCAATTAGTTATCGAGTTGACCCGAAATCCGTTATTTTCGTATCGTTTACGTGTCGTGTTAATGTGTCGTGTAAGAAATTGCCAGGTCTAGGTCGGGGTGTGGTTGGGTTTCAAAATTTTAGCCCTTGCCCATATATGCTGGGAATGGATTTCCCCACACTATTTTTTCTATTTTTTTTACACTCTGCATATTTTTTTATCTTAATTTTCTTTAATTCATTCTAGCCAAATATTAAATATAAACAGAAGTGTGTAAAAGTCCACAAAATAAAGGATTAAATACTTAAAACCCCATAAGCTATTAGTGTCATTCTAAATTGGTCTCAACTTTTTTTAACATTCCAAATAAGTACGCCATCTATTGGATATGTCACATCCGTTCAGCAAAAATCCGTTAAATTAACTAGGCTTACTTTGTCTCCAAAATCAATAGAAGGTCATGGAAGCATAGCCTCCACCAACCAACAATTACCACCATCCACATCACGCTATCACCTCCAAACCTAATGCAAAACCACCAACTCCACCCTACAACTCAAGCCGCCAACTTCAAGAAGAAAGTCATGGACGTTGCTGAAATGGTATGAACTGTCATGATGCGGCGACCACCATCTTCATCGCCTGCAAAGAAGAACTAAAAGATTTACGAGCCGAGAATTGGCAAATAAGAAAATCACATGAGCAGAAACAGCTCCTTGAAACCATATCAGAATTCTTAGTCCTCTTCTCCGTTACGAGATTGCCTTCTTGATGTAATTCAATTTGGGTCCATTTTCAATTCAATTCAATTTAATACCTATTTGATCATTGGGTTTCATTTTATATAATTTATGTTTGAAATTTAGATTTTGATGCAACTAATATTAATATTGTCCATGGTACATCTAGTTGGTGGGTTTGAATATAATCCATGTTTGAAAAAAAATAAAAAGAGTAACTGAGGCTCAACTGATATGACATTTTTAATAAGTTTAGTACTAGATTAGGATGTTTAAAAATGTTAAAACTAATTTGGACTGACACTAAAAAATTGGGAAGAGTTTTAGGTACTTAATCCTAAAATAAAATAGGTGCAAAAATCGTTGTGGGCTATTAATAATGGGCCGTTCCCAAAATTTTCCATAAGAGTGAATTAAAAAAAACCCTAAACTATAAAGATAAACAGGTGAAAACGTAATTGAGAGGGGATGAGAAGTCGAGCAATACACCATGCCGGTTCAATTGCTGATAAAGGACCGTATAAACCCTAACCCACACTCCGACTCTCGTACAGATTATTCTTGGGGAGACCGCCGGACCAGGTATTTCCATCCTCACAATTCTTATTCCTTTCAATTTATCTTTCTTGTTCAAATTCAATTGGTATTCGACGGCGATCATTTGTTTTTCTATCCCATTTCCAGGCCCAAGATTGATGCTTGTTTTTCTGAAAAGAACCCTAATTTTTGTTTATCTTGTAATTTAATCTGGTTTTTATTTGCTGAGTAATTTAATCATGTTCTATATATGTGTTTGTGGTTGGATTTTTTTTGTGGAAATTGTTTTTTTGTTGCTTCTTTTTCTGAAAAGAACCCTAATTTTTGTTTATCTTGTAACTTAATCTGGCTTTTATATTCTGAGTAATTTAATCATGTTCTATATATGTGTTTGTGGTTTGATTTTTTTTGTGGAAATTGTTTTTTTGTTGCTTGTTTTTCTGAAAAGAACCCTAATTTTTGTTTATCTTGTAACTTATTCTTGGTTTTATTTGCTGAGTAATTTAATTATGTTCTATGTATGTCTTTGTTTTTTGGTGGAAAATGTTTTTTTTTTTTTTGTTAATTTTGAAGTAGGTAAAATATTTGATGATAACAGATAAATAATTTGCAATCAGGTCCCTTCCAAGTAGTTGATAGATAATGTTGAAGAGAGCCCTGCATAAAAATTTAGGAGTACCTCGTGATAGGAAGAGGAGGAAAAGGGAAAGCATCGCCGGCACGTTAGGTATTGATTTGTGTACAGAAGCATCTGGAATTGAAAGGAAAAGAAAGAGAGGAGAATTAAGCATGATTGACAAGAATGTTAAGCTGAAACAGACGAAAGGGACCGTAAATTCGAATGGTGTGGAGATAAGAGTTGAGTGCGTGGATTATATCTCGCACTTACCTGAAACTGTGATCCATCTCATCTTGTCTCTCCTTCGTAGTACAAAAGATGCTGCTCGAACCAGTACCTTGTCAAAGAGGTGGAGGGACTTGTGGACCTCTTTCTCTGTTTTGGCATTCGATCAGCGCAAGTTTCAAAAACCAGAGGGAGTTAAAGATAAGAAGAAGTGCAATGCGATGTTTAAGGAGTTTGTTGACAAATCTCTCCAGAGCCATTTTGACCGCAATTTGGGTATATATAAGCTTGTGCTCCATGTGAACTCGTTTGATCAAGATATGGTTCATCGTATTGAAAAATGGATTGGACTTGCAGCTGAAAATAAAACAAAAGAGATTGGTTTCCATGCTCACAAGAAAATATGCGGTCGCTACACGGTGCCTAGGAATGTCTTTGCTTCGGAAACCATAACTGGATTAAGGCTAGAAGGCTGTAGAGTGGATACTTCCAGTAATATAAAGCTTCCTAATCTGCAAAAGCTGTATCTGCGAAAAATCCATTTTGATGAATCAATAATTATAAATCTCATTACCAGCTGCCCTCTAATTAATGATTTGAGACTCATACTTTGCTCGGGGTTAAATAATCTGCAGATTTCAAGTCTCCTTAAACTTTATAGGGTTGAAGTACACTACTGCCATGGACTAGCGATGATTGAAATCAAAGCTCCAAGTCTTGAAACATTTTGGTTTTGTGGGAAGAAATACATGTCCTGCAAAATTAAGTTGGCTGCATGCGAGTCTCTTAAAAGACTGACATTAGAGGACAGTAGAATGACAGACAACCAGTTTCATGATCGGTTCTTTAGGTTTCCTCTCCTGGAGAAACTGGATCTACATAAATGCCTCAACTTGAAAAATATAAGAATTGCAAGCCATCGGCTGAAAACGCTAGTATTAAGAGGTTGCAAGAAACTAGCGGATGTTGAAATTGATACTCCTAATCTTCTTTCATTTGAGTATGAAGGTGATGAAATGCCCTTTTCTTTTCTGAATCCTGTAAGTTTGAAGGAGGCCAAGCTTTCATTTGCACCAGTAAGAAACTTCATATCTGAGCCTGAATGGTTTCTTAAGATGCGAGAATTTCTTGGAAAGTTGGATCATAGAGCCTTTAAACTGGTTGTTTACACGAATAAGGTAATCTCCTTTTGTTATTAACAATTGTAACTCATTTTCCGCTTCTCTTAATTTATCTTATCTTACATGCTTTCATTGTCCAATCCAGAATGTCATCATCCACGAAAATATTAGAGAAATTTCGCTTCCTCCAAACTGTGGTCTCAAATTTGAATTAATCCAATCATCAGTGGGTTCCGAAGAACTATTAGATAGTTCATTGCAGAAACGGCAGCTGGAGACCCTATCTATAGTGTCGTCTTCCAGCAGTGAATTCCTCAAGGTATGGTAGTTTCCTTGCATACATTTTGCTAATTGCTACCTATTACATTATCCGCAATTTGTATACTGTGGATTCTTTTTCGGATCATGGATCCTTCAATTAAGTCCACCATGTTGAGTGAGATTGAGCCATCAAAGAATAAAGTGACATTTTGCTTTCTCAGCCGTTGTTTTTACTTGAACTGCAGTTGGTACGTGAGAAGATTACTAGAAAGGAGGATCCAACCTGCTGCACAAGTATGAATTCAACGAATAAGTGTTGGAGACACTTCTTAAAGGACGCCAGGATGGTGAACTTGAAAGCGGCCAAACACGTGGCTCCATGGATGGCTTGGTTGAAGTCACATCCAAGGGTTAATGAGATCACTTGTTTTAGATTGAAATGGAAATCTGACAAAGATGGTAAGGAGGTGTCCCGCTAAGGTTTATATTTAACTTTTCAAATTTCAAAACTTAGATTTCCGCTTTAAGTTTACTTTTATGTGACAATGAATTGATTCATTTTGGAATCCAATCTGAAGATTATTGTTCTGGGGAGATGATATGAGTACGGTCATCCTTTAAAGTTTTTCATTTAGTTTTAGTACTTTTTGAGCTATCTTCCCATAAATAGAGGTGGAGATTTCCAAAACTACAAAAGCACACTTGCAACTCTGGTTATGTTAGTGTTGAATATTTGGAGTGTTTTATTATTGATTGATTCGAGAGCTAACATTGTTTTCTTGTTATACAAGCAATCTTAGGGGAGGGAGATACGAAAGTAGGATCTTGTAAATGATGCTTTTAACTCCTTGAGTTACAAGCTCCTATCTCGTACTAGAACTTTTGAACAAGAAGCCGGGGCTTTCGTTCTTATGAAACAGTGCAACACTAGGATGATTTTTAGCTCCTAGAGGAGGATTTCGTAGCCTCACGGCAAATAACTCTCCGTGGTTGTATACAAGCGGTGATAGGGTTTGTGTAAAGGGGTTTATTCTGTTTGAATGTTACTTTTGTCAAGGAATTACTTGGCCTAGATGCCCACAATCAGAAAGTGGAGAAGAGAGGGATTGGAATCGGAAAAGGTAGGAGCACCTAAAACATAAAGCACAGGTTCTACACTTATAGCACCACAGGATCACATTCACAATATACCAAGATATCTACATTTCCAAAATGTGTAACAAGAGAAATGCTAGCAGACTTTGCACTAACATTTGCATTTGGACCTTTTTACTTTATTTAATGTCGTGTGTGACCTGGAAATCCTCAAATCGTATCCGTTCATCGTACATCATACGGTTAGAAATTATTTTAAATACTTTTATTTAAAATTAAATATGAATAGTACACTTGACGAAAACTGACTGCAAGATGTACGATGAACGGACACGATTTGAGGATCTCAAGATCCTCACAAAGAGGATCCGAAGAGGATCCTCATTCATCTTTCACAACCTAGATTCGACTCTTCATTCTCCTCTTATATAAAGAATATATATAAAAAAAAAAATACAAAATCAAACTTGATATATTCAAATATATGCTTTTCTAGCGATATTGACTAAAGTGATGACCACCACAACCGTTCTCAAATGAATAAAGCAAAGGCATGATTCCTTGTTCCCGCGTAATGCTTGAATCGAATCAGATACTATCCCCGCCCCCATACTCAGCACTCACCAATTAAGATATGTTTTCGCATTCAATTTGTAGGGTCAACTTTGTAATGTATTTGAACGATCTGAACTATATATATTTAGTTCATCATCACTCATAGATCACTCTTGCAAAAAATTAGACAAATCCAAAACTTTTAATACATTCATCTGTGGTGAAGAATATAGATGAATATAGGTCTACAAAGAAACACTAATTGGAAAGTCCCTGTGTGTCAACCTTTGTGCTTCGTGGCAAGGTAGACTAGCAAACATGCCCAACCTTTACTCACATTCGAGACAACACTCCCAACAGGATTGCTTGCTCCAAAATCGAAGAGGCACCGCCCTCCGAATCTCGAGAGCCAGACTCCCAACATGATTACTTCCTCAAAAATCGAAGAGACACTGCTCTCCGAATCTCGAGAGCCAGACCCCCAGCATGATTGCTTTCTCAAAAATCGATGAGGCATCGTTCTCGAATCTTGAGAGCCAGATACCACAGACCACTTTTTCAAAGTGCTCTGACAGAGTTAAAACATGTGAAACTGGCAGCTCCCACTACCGTGCTATGACCAAGCAGGGTAAAGGAATAACATTACTACTTCTTGTTAGGGAGACTCCTATATATGTCGACCTCCATCCCCAACGGACAGGCAGACCTGCAAAAATGCTCAACCCTTCATCATATCTGAGAGGGCACTCCCAACGAAGCCTTTCGAAATATTCAGCTTTCTTTCCCCCCGATAATACCTCTGCAAACAAGCTATACTAGAGCAAGAATATCTCATATCATCAGGGTTAAAAGCAAGAGTATCCCATATCATGCTTTTTCCCTGTCTTTTCCTTTGGCCTTGTTTTTACCTACAAGACAAGGAGAAAGAGAGCAATCAGTCAGCACTTGGAATCAAGCTTCCAGCCAGGAACTGACTGCCTGGAACCCCTTACCTGATTACTTACCTGGCATTGCTCTCGAGTACTCATCTTCAACATCTTATGTTTCCAGGGAAGATTCCGCATCTGCTTGAGGAACAGATAGGGCAAGTGCGAAGGATACAAGGAAGCATGTGGAGACAAGCGTAACAGCACACGTGCCGATACATCCATTACTCTGTCAAAAGCAAAAGTATCCCATATCAGCAGGGTGGAACGTACTCTAGATTTGATGGACTTGTTTTGACCCTCAAATTCTTCAGTCGGCCTTATACTTTGGAGGAAACCAGAAAACCCTCCAGCTCAGTTCAAGAATAAGCCTGTGGAAAGTTACTTCTTCAAAAGCAAAAGTATCTCATATCATCTCTTCTCATTTTTCTTCTCTTTATCCTTCATGCTGCTGCAAGATGGGGAGAAGGTGAACAATCAGTCGGAGCTCTGATTGCTTACCTTGTCTGTCACCTCTTTCAGCAGACCCCCTAGCTCGACGACTTGGGGGACTCCTACTACATGGTTTGTATTGCGCTTGACCAATCCTGAAACTACAAGTAAAGATACCACCCCTGGATGGAGGAAGAGTACTTCCAGAGAAGATGCCACATTTACCTATGAGACAGATAAGGCAAGTCAAGACGACACCACACTCCGATACTTAGAAGTTTCGTGATTACGAGATCATTCTCCCACAATATTTCCTAATGTCATTTGTACTAAATCATTCACTTGTACTCACTAAAGGAGAGCTTGAACCTATGTACTTGTGTAAACCATTCACAATTAATGAGAACTCTTCTATTCCGTGGACGTAGCCAATCTGGGTGAACCACGTACATCTTGTGTTTGCTTTCCTATCTCTATCCATTTATTTACTTATCCACACTAATGACCGGAGCAATCTAGCGAAGATCACAAAAAGCGACCGTTTTCGCTACCTAGGATCTATCTTGCAAGAGAACGGAGAATTAGATGGAGATCTCAACCATAGAATACGAGCTGGATGGATGAAGTGTAAGAGTGCATCCGGCGTGTTGTGTGACCGTCGTAGGCCACTGAAGCTCAAGGGAAAATTTTATAGGACGGCAATAAGGCCAGCGATATTGTATGGCACAGAATGTTGGGCGGTGAAGCATCAACACGTACACAAAATGGGTGTAGCGGAGATGAGGATGCTTCGTGGGATGTGTGGGCACACGAGAAAGGATAAGATTGGGAATGAGGATATCCGAGGTAAAGTAGGAGTTGCCGCAATTGTAGGAAAGATGAGAGAAATCGGCTCCGGTGATTTGGACATGTGCAAAGAAGGCCGACTGACGCTCCGGTTCGAAGATGTGACTACGGGACAGAGGTTCAGGGCCGAAGGGGTAGAGGAAGACCTAGGAAAACTTTGGAAGAGACTCTAAGAAAAGACTTAGAGTACTTGGATCTAACGGAGGACATGACACAAAACCGAGCGCAATGGCGTTCTAGGATTCATATAGCCGACCCCACTTAGTGGGAAAAGGCTTTGTTGTTGTTGTTGTTGTTGATCATATGTTTAGGATTTGAGTGACTTTAGTAGATAAAGATAAGACATAAAAGATAAACGGTTGGATCGTTTAAATACATTACGAAGTGAGGCTCATAAAAGCGGTTGTCAAAAGTGTGCGTCCCCTAACCTTAACCATATATCTGTCTCTGTGTGTTTATATACTCTCAATAAGAAGCCCCCTTCTTTTCTTTCACATATTCTCTCTATATAAAGCCTTCTTTTCTTACTTCTTCTCTGTGTTTATCATGCTTCCATTAAGCACCAAGGTAAGCATTAAGCTCTTCTTTTCCACATCTACTTCTTACTTTGTTGTTGTGCTTTGTTTGTTTTATTATTACAAGCCATATACTATCCTAAACTACGTCAAAAGAATAGAAAAGAGTTTGAATCCAAAAGATAGCGGTTGAAGAGGAAGGCCGACTCCACCATTTTCTACGTTGTTATGCACTTTATCATCAACTTTGTTTACCTATTAAAACTATGATTTTGTTTCAACGTACTTTTAAACAAGGAAACTGGTGTAACTTTTTATGTAGGAAGGTGGGAAGAGGAAGACCACGGTAGTGGGACCATGGGGAGGAAATGGTGGAATTCCTTGGGACGATGGCATCTACAATGGCGTGAGAGAAATCACGGTTGTTTACGGCCACTGCATCGACTCCATCACCCTGGTGTATGATAAAAACGGCAAGCCTGTCAAAGCCAATACACATGGAGGCCGCGGAGGCACTCAGACCGCGGAGGTCTGCCTCGCAGCTCGTAGTTTTCATTTTATTTGGACAAGTATTGTGATGAAGATTTGAACTCAAGACATGCCTTGCAGATAAAGTTGGAGTATCCGGATGAGTACCTAGTCAGTGTGACTGGGAACTACTGTCTGTTGGCTTACGGCGGCACAGCTATCATCCGTTCGCTTAAATTTCAGAGCAATCGAAGAACATTCGGACCTTTTGGGATAGAGGAAGGCACAACGTTTACTTACAATGTTGAAGGAGGAAAAATTGTTGGGTTGAAGGGAAGAAATGGTTGGTACATAGATGCCATTGGGTTTCATGTATCCCCTGCCCCTACAAAACTCTTTCGGAGAGTTCAGAAGAGTTTCAGAAGGCTCGGGAGCTCGGGCACCAGAGAAACTGAAACGACTGCTCCCAAGACTAAAGGATTTTGAATATCTAACTATAAGCTAGTCTTTCTGCTTTTGATTGATTGTTTTCATGTATACTTAAGCTATCCAGATAATTCAGTTGCCTTTCACTTTTCTTGCTTTTAGAATCCAAAGACATATGTTTTTGACAAATATTTTCACACCTAGTTTGTAGGTCTACTTTGAACCGTGTATATTTCAGTATATCATTCATTTATATCGAAGAAAATAGATGAATACTTTTATAAAAATAAGCACTAAATATAAACGCAAGAATGAAATCACAACATATAAACGCAAGAACGAAATCACAAAATATAAACGCAAGAGCGAAATCACAAAATATAAACACAAGAACGAAAACACATCTTGCAATTCATCTGAATGTAAGTAGTAAATTGCAGAATGTGAGAAAATTAATTCCAGACCAGAAAGCTTTGCTCTTGCCCAACTTTCATGACAGTAAATATGCATCTGAGTCACACAGATTACAAACCAACCAGCATACATCCATGAGAAACTACTCATCGATTGTATCATTTCTAACATGAAGCAACTATCACTAGTTTTCATGCATATACACAACCTAAGGTTCACTCAGAAAAAGAGTGCATGGATCAGCATCGAAGCACGACATTCTCTCAAGACACTGTACCATTTCGTGCCAGATTGTTACAAGCCATAATTAATTACCATAAAATAAGGTGGATGTCTTAAAAAACCAAGGACATAAAATTGCAATGCATCAACAGATTCAACAGAGACATAAAACATGAAGAAAGTTCCGACTGTAATGTACAATTACATATAAGCTTTTATACGCCAAAATCAAGAATGTCAAAGTTCATGATTGTATTAAAAAACACTAAGCACAAATGGAGCAACAGATATCAAAACACGTCTTTCCTCAGAAAACCTGAATAGTGCATAAGACGACTAAAAGCTAATTCAGCCAATTAACATACATGTATTTCAACAAACATTGATCCTAATTCCAATCAACAGAAATTATAATGTACTCCAAAGTATCTAGAAACACTGGTGCCCGTGAGCAACAATCAGAAATCATACATTGAAATCCTTGTGCCCATAAACGAATTCATTCATAATATCACATCACAAACAGCACTTGCAACTTAAGCAAATGGTGTTTCTCCCCGAGCGAAACAGAAAAAGGCAGCAACATCCAAGATCCACCAACCAGTCCCAAATGGCCAATTCACTCAATCAAAAAAAATTGTAAGCTCATTCTCAATAAGCACAGGCACACAGCACATAGCTATTATACATATAACGAAGAAATACAAACAGTGACTCGAACGCAAAGAAAGCCCCCGTAGTAGTATATGGCAGCGAATTCAAATTCGTCAAATATACACAAATATCAAGTTGCAAATTGTTCCAACACGAGCCATAATTCATAATTAGCAATGAGTACAAACACAAAAGCATACCATATATATTCTAATTCGCAATGCAAGCTGATCGATTTGCTAATTTAACCTCTAGCCTTGAGCTCCGCAAGCCTCCTGGAGAGGTCGTCCTCGTCGACCTTCTCGGTTTCCTTGGCGGGCACGGCATGTGCAGCTGGCTGAGGCAGGCCGACGGACACCTCAAGGCCATAGTCATCCGCAACCTGTTGCATCAAGCTATTGACCTCACCTTCCGGTGTCGAAAGCGAGGTGGAGCCAGCCATAGCGGTCTCCATGAACTCGGCCTGAACCTCCATGTTCACGAACTGCTTCTCGAACGAGTCCATGGTCTCCGACATCTTCTGGAGGTTTCCGGTGGCCAGCGACGACTCAAGCGATTTGACGATATTGCCCATCGACTTGTTGATGGTGAACATCTTGGCCTGGGTGTCGAGCCGCGCCACCACGGCGTCGAGCCGCGAGGCGAGGCGGAGGTAGTTCATCTGCTCGGTGCGCTTCCGGATGGCGTTCTCGGCGTAGATCCGGGCGCCGTCGACGTTGCCTTTCTCCATTGCCTTCTTGATCTTGAGCTTCTCGGATTTCTCCTCCTTCTCGCACTTCCTGGACTGGCGCTGAAGCGACTTGGAGGTGAATTTGAGCTCCATGATCTGGTTCATCAGCTTCTCGGTGTTTCCCATGATGGAATTTGGGGATTTTCTTGGGGGGAATTTGACTTTCTAGGGTTTGTGTTTTTTGATCGGAGGAAGAAAGATTCGAGCTTTTGTGCGTTTTGGACTTGCGATATACGTGTTCCGCGTCCGCGTTTCAGAGAAATCACCGAGGGTGAGGCCAAAGTTTCCTAGTTCGCTTTTTTCGGCCCTACTTCCAATATTTTGGGCTTCACTTGCTTTATGCCTCTACAAAACATGAAAATTCCGGTTTAGTGATATGAACTTGTACGCGACTCCTCGATACTACCGTTCAGTCATATTCATCTTCATTTATAAGTTAGAAATAGTAGGTTTGATTTTTGTCAAAAATAAATTTAAACTATATTATTATGACTTGCCTATTGTTTGGCTTAATCCACTCCCCCACCTCCTTAGTTAGATAATTTTGCTTGTTCAGAAAGAAAAAAAACTTGTATGAGAGAATTTATAAGCTTATTATTTTAACACTCTATATATTTGTTTGGGTCCAAAATAATATTTTGGGCCGAGCTTAGAATCTTTCTCGGTCTAGTAACATTCATCTATAATCTTGTCATGGGTTGTACAGTCAAGGATGGATACGAAGATGATTGGTTTAGATAAGGGTGAGGCAGTCGAACCCTAGTGCAACAAGGAGTCTTAAAGCTAAGGATGCTTAGAATTAGGGGATGAATTTGGTTCGTTAAGGAGCTTGGTTCAAAGTCCTATAGGGGTTAGGATTGGGCGAAACCTGATCATATTAGGTTGAGGAGTTATAATCCAAGTAAATTTCTAGTTCGGCCATAAGGAGGTTTGCTGCTATAACTAGAGAGGGGAGTGCATCATTCAAAACCCCTTCAAATCAACACACAAATTGGCCTGTACAAAGCTACTCAACAACCCTGAGATTTTTTCCTATCCCTTTTTATTCTCGCTAACGCATCTTTAGTTTGGATAGACAACACTAGAGCCGTAGAATCAGCTGACCGAGGAGCACCTTCAGTTTGAATAGACAACACTGCTTCTAGACCGACTGGTTATTTATCCAAGTCTCGGTCAACAAGGATTTCTAACTCCTTGTTGGTAAAGGTCATCTCATTAGCCTTCTTGGCGAAGTGAGGTGATACCAGGTTACTAGGCTCGGCACATTGAAAGCCGAGTTTTATTTATGATAGGATATTCGCAAGTACATTTTAGAGTTCGACATTTTGACGGCTGAACCACATTTACAATCAAGACATTTATCTTTTTCGAGTATTTGTGTCCGTATAGTTTGGTACCAGTCAACATACTTATACTTTCACGAATACAATTACTGAGATCAAACCTGGCGCCGACAATTTGTGAACTTTGAAGAAACTAGCAGCCTTATCTTCAAGCTCTAGAACCTAAAAGCCGAGATGTGTTCTTTTCTCGGTTGTAGTCACAAGATCAAGAAGTCAACAAAGCGCCCAACGCCACATCAACATATTTTACTCTTTGGCCGAACTTGACCAACGAGTTGGCACGCCCCTCACACAACCGAATGATGTAGTTAGCTTATTAATTACTCAGCCTACGTGTCACGTAGGTTTGGTAGTTTTTAGGGTCAACATTTTGGCATGCCCAGTGGGACCCAGTGCTAAAGCTACGAAGTTCGTGACCATTGAAACACAATCAGTAAAAAAGAAAACAATCATGGGTAAGTCAATGACTAATCTTCCACATACAGTCCAAAGCCTAGGACAAGATGGCTTGTCACAGGCACATAATCCTCCTGTTGCTGTAACACTTGAAGCCACAAGTACAACACGCCGAGAAAAGGAAATTAATCTCGGCGGTCAGACTCGTGCTGCAGAAATCCCCACCAAAATGACAAAAGGCGTTTTTGTTGAAGGACTAGTGGAGGATTATGACGATGATGATGATGAGGCCTCTAGTCCATCATCTAGATCTTTTCTTCAACGACGATTTGAAGAACAATCTCGACAGTTTGAGCAAATGTTTAGCCGATAGGTATAAAGCATATTTGAAGAGATATGTGATAATAGTGTTATGCACAACAGATTGCTCGAAGTTCTGGTTAATAAAGTCCACAAAATTTGACTTGCTAATCAACCTAGGTAGCCTCATCTTCTAAAGAATAATCCATTGCCAGCGATACAGGCCAAGACAGGATCTATTCGGCCCAAAATGATTAACTTAGAAAAAAAATAGCAAACCAAGCAGCAAATCGGTGAAAATCGACCCAGAAGCAGAACCGACACCTGTTAACATGGTTGAAGTCCAAAGAATGATTGATTCGACTTTACAAAAGGGGCCGAAGTTCCCAAAATCCATTCACCCATATCTAGCTTTTATAGAAAGGTTCGAATATCCTAAGGGATTCAAGATTCCAGACTTTAGCCTTTTCGCTGGAGAATCATCCTTATCCTCGTTAGAACACGTGGCTTGATTCATTGCTTAAAGTGGAGATATTAATAGTGATTTTCATAAACTATGATTGTTCAATTTCTTGTTAATCAGCTCAGCGTTCACATGGTAGATCAACCTCTCACCCAACTCCATCCAAAGCTAGGAAGAATTAGTCGAAAAATTTCATGAGCAATTTTATCGGCCAGAGATGGAAATGTCAGTTTCTTCTTTGGCCATGATGGCTCAATCATCTGACGAGTCACCAATGGAATATCTTAGGAGGTTTAAATCGGTTAGAAACTGGTGCTGAGTACCCCTTCCTGAAGTCGAGTTTTTAGGCTTGCCCTGAATGGCCTGGATGTGGAGTACAAAAAGAAATTCTTGAGGGCAAACTTCCGAGATATGTACGAACTGGCTCAACATGTCGAGCAATATGATTATTTGCTCCGAGAATAGAAAATCTTGAAATCCCCAACCTAAAGGACGATTTACAAAAACCCCACGATAAGTTTTGCATTGGTTGAAGGCGAAGAGTCCCAATATGCCAGTATAGATGCGTCCGAGATAGTATTTAACAAAGCATACGTATGCAAAGCGTTGGTTCATGCTAATTCC